TAGACAGAATCTCAGGATCTCAGGAGAACAGTTTTGCTTCACTCTTTTACTGATGGAGATTAGTTCCCCATCCACATGCACGTGAGTGCATGGACACACACACAAATACACATACACACACACTCAGCCCTACACGTAATGTGACTTCATTTCATCTGAGCCCAAACTGAGTCCTGAACAAATGGTCTGGGCTGGCATTGAAAGCCAGGTGCAATCCAGCACCTGGCATTTCTCCCTATTCTCAGATGTGAATGTTCTACCACAAACAAAATGATGTACTCATTCTCTTCTGAACATGATCAAGGTTCTCCTGGTTCTGTCTTTGCTCACAACAGGGGTCAATCAGTACACAAACATGTATTAAGCTAGTCACTGGGGATACAAAGGCAAAAATGAAATCATCCTAGCCTTCGAGACTTACATTATATTAGATGGGATGCCCCGCCCCCAATCTACCAATTTGAATCAGAATTTCTGGGCTAGAAGGGACCTTGAAAATCATTTTGTCCACCCCTATTTCAGTCATGTCTGACTCTTCACCCATTTGGGGTTTTCTTAGGTGGCACAGTGGATAGAGTGCCAAGCCTAAAGTCAGGAAGACCTGAGTTCAAATCCAGCCTCAGACACTTAATAGCAGTGTGACCCTGGGCAAGTCATTTAACCCTGTTTGCCTCAGTTTCCTCATCTGTAAAATAAGCTGGAGAAAGAAATGGCAAACCACTCCAGTATGTTTGCTAAGAAAACTTCAAGTGGGGTCATGGAGAATCAGACACAACTGAAAGGACTCAACAACAACTCCCTCCTTTACAAATGAAGATACCAAACAGAGAGGAAATTACTTGCCTCCAGGTCACAAAGCTAATTAGCAGCATGGCTAGTGTTAAAAGCCAGCTCATAGAGGTTCCCAGGAGCCGATAGTTAAATTTTCAGTGGGAGCGTTTAAAACTAGCAGTCAGCAAATGGAAATAATACAAATCAGGACTTGATTTATTGTTTTGTTGATTATCTAAACTTAAGAAAATAATGGAGAAAATGTCAATAATGCAGATTAAACTTATAGATATGTCCATTCATACTTTTCAGAGAGCCTATTGTTAAACATTTGCCAGCACACTCTTGATTAGAACCCAAGTCTTTGGATTCCAAGTGTTCTTTCCTCTATACTGTGCCTACCTGTGGGTCCTTCACTGAGCCCTCTCCATTTCATTCCTAAATCACTTACTGTCTAAGCTAATCATTTGATATTTAATAAATTCCTTGCCTGGTATTGTAAGATAGCTTATATTTCCCTAACTAGACTGTAAACTCATGCAACTATTGTTCTGTTTTTGTATCTGAATAGTGTCTGACACATAGTAGGTGCTTACTTAATGCTTATTGAATCGAATTACAATTAATTGGCTCATAGTGTAATATAGAGAGAGCTGAAAAGGGACCTTCGAGATCATCTAATCCATTTCTCCCTTTTTTACAGATGAAGAAACTGAGGTTCAGAGAGGTTAACTTGCCCATGATTTGACATGGGCAGGATCTGAAACCAGGACTTTCTATCTGCACGTTCAGCCATCTACTCTGCCACACAGCTTTGAACTGCGTGCATGATAAATGAATGAAACTGCTTTGATTAAGCACATACTACTACATGCCAGGCACTGCTTTAAGCTCCGAGGATTCAAATACAAAAGAGAGACACTCTGCATTCTCAAAGAGTTTACATTCTAAGAGAGACAGTGCCCACTGGGGAGTAATGGCTAGGAAATTCTGGTCTGGGAAGTCATTGGGATGGTGGGTAGACCCAGAAGACCATTGACTGACACATTCTTTCCTGAAGCAGTGGTAGTGTTGATTGGCTTACGGTTCCCAGAGAACTAAAGATGATCTTACAGTTCTCCCTGGAGCACCCAACATAATGCCTGGCACACATCAGAAAGACAGACATTCAGCCAAAAGAAATAGAATAGAAGATATCAGAAAATTTGTAAGTGAAAATAAAAAAGATGGTGAGAGAGGGGTGAATAACCAGCATGTCCCACTGATATCCTTGAATACAGCACCTACCTCAAGGGCTGTAGTGAGGCTCAAATGAGATAGTGATTGTAAAGCACTTAGCACAGTGCCTGGCACATAATATAAATATTAATCAGTACAAATGTTAGCTACTATTATTATTATTGAATGAATGAAAATGCATTTATTAAACACTTACTATGTGCCAAGCACTATGCTAAGTGCTGGGGATATAAACAGAAAAAGGGAGAGATTCCCTTTGCCCAAGGATCTCACACTCTAATTGTCTCCTTCAAAAGAATGCCAGCTCTGTCATCCCCATTCTATCATTTATTTTCTTTCTTTTTTTACTACGTCTCAGGTGAATCCAAAAAACAGTAGTTGCAATCATGTTATCAGACAATTCAAAACAAAAATGCACAACAGAAAAAGAGACAAACAAGGAAATGACATTATGCTGAAAGAAATCATACGTAGAGAACAAGTCAATATCAATATTAGGTACATGCTCCAAATGTCTTAGCATCTAAATTCATAAAGGAAAAATTAACTAAACTACAGAAGACATGAATAGTAATACAATAGTGGCAGGAGATTTTAATGTTCTCTTGGTTTTGGTCTATAACTTATTTACAATCTTTCCCTGTCTTCTGGCTCCTTCTCTACTGCCTGGGGACATGCCCAAGCCTCTACCATCCTCAATAAAACCCTCACTTGACCCTTCCAGTCTCACTAGCATCCTGTATCTCTTCTGCCTTTTGTAACTAAACTCCTTAAGAAGGCCAGTTACAGTAGGCGCCTCCACTTTCTCTCCTCTCACACTCTTACAATCCACTCTCCGTCCTCATCATTCCATTGAAACTGCTCTCCCTAAAGTTACCAACGATCTCTTAATGGACAAATCCAATGAGAAAACTCAATCTTCATTCTTCTTGATCTCTGCAGCCTTAGACATCGTCCAATCACCCTCTTCTCTCCTTGATACTCTCTTCAGTCAAGGTTTTTGGGACCCAACTCTTTCCTAATTTTCCTCCTACCCATCTGACTACCCTTTCTTAGTCTGCTATGCTGGATCCTCCACTCCCTTTAACCATAGGTGTCCCTCGGGGTTTTGTCCTGGCCCTTTTCTCTTCTCCATCTTCTTCACTTGGTGATTAGTCAGCTCCATTTAATTACCATCTCTATGCTGACCATTCTCAAATCTATCTTTCCTGCCCCAAACTCTCTACTAATCCCCAGTACTCACATCTCCATCTGCTTTTCAGACATCTCAAAGTGGATGTCCAGTAGACATTTTAAACTCAACAAAATGGAGCTCATTATATTTTCCCCTAAACCCCCCCACACACTCCTACCTTCCCTATTACTGTAAGATGAGTAGAGGGCAACACTGTCCTCCCTGTCCCTCAGGCTCGTAGCCTAGGAATCATCCTCTGCTATTTACTCTCTCTCACCCCACCATATCTAAACTATAGCAAAGGCCTGTCAATTTCACCTTTGCAGCATCTCTTGAATATGCCCTCTTCTCTCCTCTGACACTGCCACCACTCAGGTGCAGCCCTAATCACCTCACACCTTGAGTACTGCAATAGCCCAGGGTCTGCCTGCCTCAACTCTCTCCCACTCCAATCCATCCTCCATTCAGCCACTAAAGTGATTTTCCCAAAGAACAAAGCACATGTCATGCCCAGCCTCTCATCAATAAACTCCAGTGGCTCCCAATTGCCAGCAGGATCAAATACAAAATCCTCTGTTTGACATTCAAAGCCCTTCATAAACTAATCCCCCTCCTAGTTTTCAAATCTTCTTACTTTAAGACACATGCTCTTCCATCCAGTGACACTGGTCCCTTGACTGTCCCATAAACAAGATGCTCCATGATGAGAGCCTGTAGCAAGATGGTGGTAGTGTTGGAGGAGAGAAGGGGTGTGGGCATTTTCTCCAGCTGTCCCCCACGCCTGAATTTCTCTCTCTTCTCATCTCTGCCTCTTGACTTCCCAGGCTTCCTTCAGGTCCCAACTAAAACCCCATCTTCTATAGTAAGCCTTTCCCAGCACTCTCTTAATTCTAGTGCCTTCTTTCTCATATGTATTTCCCATTTATCCTCTGGAGAGCTTGTTTGCACATATTTGTTTGCTTGCTGTCTCTCCCATTAGATTGTGAGTTCCTTGAGGGTAGAGACTATCTTTTACTTCTTTTTGTATTCCCAGCACATAGTGGGCGTTTAATAAATGTTTATTGACCAACTAATTGACATAATGTCAAGAGAGGATGAGGAAAGCCCTCGGCTCTTGGGGCATTTCCTTCTCTTTCCCCTCCCCAATTTCCAGACTCATTGAAGAGTGTGAATGAGGGTTACACAAGATGAATAGGCAGGAGATCTGCGTTGTTGGAGGGTATAGCCATATCAAGGAGGCCCCAAATCCATCAGAGCATTAGTCGGTGAGGAGGAGAGGCGAGATCTCTTATTTCCCACTTTCCCACGTTTGTGCTGGGGTTCTTCAGACTGTCCACTGCTCACATCCTCGCCTGTGGTTTGCTTCCTTGGCCTCTAGCCCAGTAGGCCTGTATGGCCTTGGCAACAATTTATCTTCCACAGGATGGGGCCCTTTCAGAAATATGTCAGGAATAATGCCAAGCAAAGAGAAGTCTTACAGATGTAGACATGTATTTCTTTTGCTAGGGAACTGGGAAATGGTATGAAAGTGTTTTATCCTTTGTGATTACATCACATACAGCAAAACTTTCATAAATTGTGGGATGGGAGAGGGGAGTATTTATACAAAATAAGTGGGAATAATAAGAATCCATGGGGGGGGGGGCTTGAACAAGAGTGCTCTGCTCACGTGTCATTGTTATAGGTAGGGGTGTACTCATGAATGTTTAACAACCAGCTTGTTGGAGGGGGGAAGCATTTTTGACATACTTTTAGCTTAAACTGCATTATTAACATTTTCTCCATCATTTTCTTAGGTCTAGGCAATCAACAAAATGAAACATCAAGCCCTGATGCACTGACTGCTGAGATTTAATTGCTCATGTTTTGGCAATCTGCTCTTGAGAGATACTAGTAACAGTTGATACTGACACTCCCAGGGTCACAGGTGAGCCATTCAAACTTTCTCTATGACTTGGGGCTTATCTAAGAGTCAGTTCTGGGTTCCTCCATCAGCCCAGATGCTAGAGATGTGGAGTGGAGCAGGGAGGGGAGAAAATAGATCAGGAAAATGGGCTCTCTGTGCCAGGAAGTGAAAGAGACTCATCCTTTGAGAAGTACCAAAGTGTCAGATTTTGTTTGTTTTGTTGGGCGGATGCAGATCTTTGCTTTCATTGATTTGGTAAACTCTGTGAGAGGAAACTCTGTATCAGTACAGATTGGTAATTATTCTAAGATGTATAGTCTGAGAGGAGATTAAGTGACCTGACCAGGGCCACTCCTCCAGTATGTATCACAGGTGGGACTTCCGAGTTCCAAGGGCAGCCTTCTCTTCACCACATTATACTACCTCTCAAGATACCAGGATACCCGAGCTTCAAGAAACATGGGTTCAAATCCTGCCTCTGACATGGTGGACAAGACAGCTAAGTATTCGGAGCCTCTGTTTTCTCATCTGTAAAAGGGGGATATTTAATAATCCCTGCTTTTACATACCTAACAGGGTCGTTGTGGGCAAAATGTTTTGTCAGCCTTAAAAGCACTTAAAGAAATGGGAGCAGTGATTGCTGTCTGGTGATGGATGGTGATTCAAGGGCCGGACCCTTCAGACCATCTGCTCCCTAACAGCTGGGGTGCACTAGGAAGTGGGAGCCATAGATGTGGTATAAATCACTGCAACCATTCCTGGAGAAATGTGGCTTCAGTTATTGGTTTTTTGATTAAGCATTTCCTACCCCAGAGAAAGGCATGGTCAGTGGGAGAGAGCATTACTTTTTGTAGTAGATTTTTACTGATATCTTCTCTTAAATCACCTAAATTCCCTCTCTCTCTCTCTCTCCTCAAAGAGTCAACCTACATGACAAATAGTCAGTATATAGTCAATACTTTTAGTATTTAGTATACAAAAATATGTATTAGTACATATATATAAAGTATATAAATTATATATTGGTATATATAAAGTATAAAGTAAAATAAAAGGGAAAAGAAGGAAAAAAATCAGCAAAACCAATGAATACATCAAAAACCATTGAAAACATATGCAACGTTTCCAGACCCACGGACCTGCCACCTCTCTGCCTTCCAGGTCTTTTCTTGGGGCTGTGCTTGGCCTTTGTAATTTTGTAACATACACTTTTTATTATTTTGGGATTGTTCTTTCCATTTTCATTGTTGTAGGAAGGAAAGAAACAAACAAGCATTGAAATGCCTGCTATGTGCCCGTCTTTACAATAACCCTGAACTGTAACAGGTGCTATTATTATAGCTAGGCAGCTAGGAGGTGGATAGAGCACAGGATCTAGAGCAGGTTCCCCATTCCTGACCTGGAGTCAAGAAAACCTGAGTTCAAATGCAGCCTCAGACACTTACTAGCTGTGTGATCCTGGGCAAGTCACTTCACCCTGTTTGCCTCAGTTTCCTCATCTGTAAAATGAGCTGGAGAAGGAGATGACTACTCCAGTGTCTCTGCCAAGAAAACCCCAAAAGGGTTCACAAAGAATCAGACACATTTGAAAATGACCAACTAACAAAAGTATTTAATAATTGAGCAAACTGAGACAGACAGAGGTTAAGTGACTTGCCCAAGGTCACACATCTAGTAAGTGTCTGAGGTTGTATTTGAACTCAGGTCTTCCTGACTCCAGGCCCAGGGCTCTGTACATGATGATGCCATCTAGTGGCCTAAGAGTCAGCTCTGATCCTCTTACGCTAAATCCCCTGCTGTGTGGAGTTGGGAAAAGAACATTAGAATGAGAGTCAGAAAGGCTGCCACTTACTGATGCACTTGCATAAATCTCATAAACTCCTCAAGCCTGTTTCCTCAACTGTAAAATGGGGACAAAAATACTTAGCACTATCTATCTCTTAGGTTTACTGTGAAGATCAAGTGAAATGGTTTACATAGAGCTAGTATTTAACTACTCTGTATTTGTATTTATTCTCTTTTTATTTATTCTGTGTGTATATATGTATGTGTGTGTGTGTGTATGTGTGTATGTACTTGTCTCCCCCATTAAAATATAACCTCCTTTCTTTTCAATTATTTGAATTGTTCCAATCATTTTATTTGCATCCCCAGGCCTGGCACACAGCAGGCACTTAATAAATGCTTGTGGTTGGTCAACTCTAACAAAGAAAAACTGTCACGCGAACCAGCCGACACAGTGACTATGCCTGACCTACACGGCACATTCTGCGTACATGGTTCCCCGCCCCACCCACATCTCTTAATGAAGAGAAGTGGATTTCCTCATCTCTTTTCTGGGGCCAAGCTTGGTCATTACAATTATAGCGTTTTAGAGTAAGAGCTAGAAAGGACCCCAGGGGCTATCCAATCCAGTCCTTTCTTTTTACAGATGAGGAATCTGTGGCCGGGGTGATGGGGGTGGGTTAGGTATTTTGCCCAAGATCACCTAGGGAAATGGTAGCTGTGTTGCTAATGTTGTTTTTCAGGCAAATCCAACTCTTTATGACCCCATTTGGGGCTTTCTTGGCAAAGATACTGGGGTGGTTTGTTATTTCCTTCTTCAGATCATTTTACGGATAAGGAGCTGAGGCAAATAGGATGAAGTGACTTGCCCAGGGTCACACAGCTAGTGAGGGTCTGAGGCCAGATTTGAACTCATGAAGATGAGTCTTCCTGACTCCAGGCCCAGCGTTCCATCTACTTTGTCACCAATGGTGGTTGTAGGAAATGCCAAAGTAGGGATCAGTCTGAGAGAAATTTTGAAACTATTTCAATTAACCGAAATTAGAGAAAAATCTTGATTAATCTTAAATTTGGTTCTAGTAAAAAAAAATTTGGGGTGTAGTCTTTTCATTTACATTATTGAGGTCATTTCATATATCATTTTCCTGGTTCTGCCTACTTTGATTTACATCAGTTCATATGAATCTTCCCTTGTTTTTCTGAATTTCTCATAATCAATTTTTTTTCCTTGTGGCTCAATAATATACCATTACACGCCCATATCTCAATTCATTCAGCCTTCTTCCAATCAATGGATACCCATTTCATTTCTATTTTTTGTTTTTGCTTTTGTTTTTTGTTTTGGTTTTGGTTTTGGTTTTTGCTACTACAAAGAGTACAGTGTATAGTCTTCTAAGGTTTTGTCTCATTCTCTCCTTTGACATTCTCACACTCTAACCTATTTAAGTACAGATCTTATACCCTGACTGGATTGTAAGCTCCTGGAAAGCAGGTTCTGGGTCCATTTTCAACTCTGTATCCTGAGTCTGTTACAGAATTGATGCTTAATGTTTGTCAAGTTTTCAAACATTTAATGAGCACCTACTATGTACCAGGCATTGTGCTCAGCATTGGGGATACCAAAAAAAAAAAAAAAAGCAAAAACAGTGTTTGCTCTCAAGGAGCTTACAGTCTAATGGGAGAGACAATATGCAAACAATCTTGGAAAAACAAGATACATAGATTCATATGGGATAATCAGCAGAGCAAAGGCACTGGGATTAAGGGTGTTCAAGAGAGGCTTCTTGTAGATGGTGGGATTTGAAGGAAGCCAGGGAAGGCAGGAGGTGGAGATGAAGAGAGAGGTGGTTACAGGCATGGGAAACAATCAGAATGTCTGGAGTTGAGAGATGGAGTGTTTTGTTTGTGGAATAGCCTGGAGACCAGTGTCACTGAATCAAAGAGAATATGGTGGAGAGTAAGATAGGAAGACTAGAAAGGTGGGGAGAAAGGTTTTTAGGTAATGAGGGACTTTGAATGCCAAACAGAGATTTTATATTTGATCTTGGAGGCAATAGAGAGCCACTGGGGCCTATTGAGTAGGAGAGTGACCTGATCAGACCTACATTTTAGGAAGATCTCTAGTGGCTGAATGGAGAATGGATTGGAGCGGGGAGAGATTAGAGACATGCAGACCCACCAGCAGGTAATATCAATAGTCCAGACATGAGGTGATGAGAGCCTGTACCAAGATGGTGGCAGTGTTGGAGGAGAGAAGGGATGTGGCAAGTGGGAGATATATGAGAGATGTTACAAAGGTGTAATTGGATGAAATGGAATTGTGGCTGAAGAAGGAGATTGAGAAACAGGAGGAAAGCAGCCCAAGGCTGACCAAGAAGCATGTTCGAAAGTCTAGGGAGTCAAGACTGGAGCAAGTGACATACCCCGCCCTGTCCTGATTGATCCTCTGGGGGCCGAACACTTCGGCTGAGCAAGTTTTTCTAGATCTTTGTTGACATATTGGCCCCTTCTATTCCTGTCCCTCTCCTCTCCCTCCCTTTGAGGCAACCTGCTCAGACTGCCCCCCATCCCTGGCCTCTGCCACCAGCTGTCCCCAATTCCCATAACCCCTTCCTCCCAGGAGTCTCTGCTTTTCTCCTAACCACAGTCCCCCAGGCATGGGGAAAGGCTCAGTGTAGCAGCTGTGAGAGGGGGGAAGGGGACACTTGGGAGTCAATGGGTCTGAAGGGGTCAGGTCTAATTACATTTAAAGCCACTCTCCAAGAAAGAGTCTTTCTAACTGAACGTTCACCTCCCCGATCTATTAAGCGGTACAAAGGTGCCATTTCCTGTGTCAGATCTACCAAGCCTGGGGTAAGAGGGGTCTTAATAATGGCAACTTGGGGGCTGGGGAAAGAGTATTACATTTAAAGACAGAGGCTTTTGGTGTGAAATCTGACTCTTCCACAAGGCACCCTCTGTGTATGCCTCGGTTTTCTCATTTGTCAAATGAAGTTGATGGCAATCTCAGAATCAGAGAAGAGATGAGCAAATTACCTTCCTTTTTTTCAATGGAGAGGTGGGAGACTATGGGTATGGAATATTGTATACATAGCTAGAAGCAGTGGAAATAGCCATTGGTTTTGCTCAACTGGTTTTTTTTTTAATTCTTTGTTTCAGGGGAAGGCTGTCCTGGAAGGGGGAATAAACCAAAAATTATTGTGATGTTCAAAAACAAAAAACCCAAACATTTCTAA